GTGGATGTTGAAGCTTCAAGGCCAGTTTGAGGTACCTAGAATTTAAGGAAAAAGAAAGTTGCACATCATAATGTGTAACAACAATTACCAGTAGACAATTGTAATGAAGATTCAGCAACATATATATTAACTTGTACAATTTGGACTTAGGGTGAATTGGTCCTTTGCAAGTTCTTTTGTTGCGACTAGCTTTTAAACACCTCCTGCAATAATCAGCTAAACTTTTTCTTGATGCTTTTTGTGTATTTCTAGGCTCTTCAGCCCTCTTCTTCCTCACTTTCTATGGCCTTCTAGGCTATTTCTTCACTCTGGTGGGTTCAAGGACTACATGCCACTATCAACCCAAAGATGCATAGATGGAACTGGACCAATTGTTTAGTTGTATGCCCGAAGCATGCTTCCTTACTATAGCACTCATCAACGTACATCTCTGGTTCCATATTCCTGCTTTGAAGGGCAGCAACTCCACGAATATAAGGAATCCTGCTAAGCTACCAAGAGCCACAACTACAGGTGTTCCTTTCCACATTGACCACATTTGTCTTGCCATTGCCATCAACTTCCAGATTACTAATTCTGAATCAATATTTGCCCTAGTGTGTCATCAATTTTCTATTTTCCTAAAGCATCCCTACTAGTGATTGTTTTAGAAAGTAACTTTCCATCCGAAAACACCATAATCCCTTGTAGCGTGTTGTTAACAACCCTATGTCTACATTATCTTTTATGCTAATAACCCCAACATTCAAGTCATGATTAGGAATCGAGTACCAAAAATTCAAATTGGACACACCTCTCTCAATTGAGTCATACATTTTCTGAAATTCAAATGTAGATAATACGCTAAACCAGAATGAATTATCTAGAGATAGCTTAAATGATGAAAATTAAATCATTGAACCAAGGAGCAAAAAAGCCAAAAGGAGAAGTCTTTTTGGCTCAGATTTTGTTACTTACCTTGTTGAAGGGACAAGGTATGAAATAAGTAATAGTATTCCTTATTGCTTTAATACCGAAGTCGATCCTAAAACATTTGATGAAGCAATGAAGTCAATGGCACTTCATTCTGAAAAGAGGCTATAAATGATGAGATGGACTTAATAATGGCCAATAAAACTTGGGAGTTAGTGGATTTACCCCCAAGTTCCAAGCCAATTGATTACAAATGGATCTTCAAGAAGAAATTGAATGTGGATGGAACCATAGACAAGTTTAAGGTCAGATTAGTTGTCAAGTGGTTTACTCATAAACATGGTATTGATTGTTTTGATACTTACTTGTCAATAGTTAGAATAGCTACCACAAGGGTGCTACTTGCAATAGTTTCAATCCAAAAATGGGTAATTCACCAAATGGAGATAGCATTTCTTAATGGTAAATTGGATGAAGCATACATGAAACAACCCTAAGGGTTGTAGTACTTGAACAAGAGCACAAAGTGTGTAGACTTATAAAGTCCTTTATGGATTAAAACAAACTCCAAAACAATGGCATCAAAATTTGACCAAGTAATACTTACTAGTGGATTCAAGATTAATGAGTCGGACAAATGTATATATAGCAAGTATATAAGCAGTAAAGGAGTCATTATTTGCTTGTATATGAACATGTTAGATTAAAGCATAGTCTAGTGAGAGATTTGATCATGAATGGTGTGATAATCATAGATTTTGTAAGATCAAAAGAGAACCGGGCTGATCCTTTAACTAGAGGATTAACAAAGGAAGTGATGATTAAACATCTAAAGGGATGAGGTTGAAATCTAATCCATGAATCACTAACAATGGAACCTTGATTCAACACTAGTTACAACAACTAACCTTGAATTTAATGAGTAAAAGTACATTGATATAGTGGTTTGAACACTACAAGACATCTCAGAGGTGTAGTGTGATTTTTCTCTCTTGAAATTGGAAGGTTGAACTTAGAGTTCTTAACAAGCCTTGTAAAATGCTACAAATGTCAGGGGCATTAAGAGCTTGCCTATATGAATGTTGGATTGATGGCATTCACAAAGTTTAGGACTTAACTCTGGACGTGTTCATGAAAAGATAGGGATACAAGACTAATGTATCACTTGTATAAATAAATTGAAGAGAAGTGAATCTATGTGTGTTAATTTATGCAGATTGTTGCATATACTTTTGGTTCAAAACTTGTCTATCAAGTAGTATTAATAAGTTGCTTCTCTCTCTAGTTTTGAGAGTTTCCCTCCTCAGTGTAGGAGTTTTCACTTTTCGAACTCTTTCTGCATAACTTAGTACTAGAGCCCGCCTAGCTTTCAAATCTTTTCAAACCTCAAGAGCACGGCGAGTGAAGATCAGCTGGGCTTGAGTAGGATTCTCCTAAAGGGTTTGTGGGGAGAGAGTGACGAATCCAGCTAACCTGGATAAAGATTCAGCTCACAATTGGCCTGATGAAAAAACCAGTCTCATCTCCTTGCACCCTTCTCTTTCTTTTTGTCTTTATCAATTAGTGCTTTCTGCCTAGTATCCACCTAACAAGGGTTGTAGTAAGCTTCTGCGGTTTGCATTCAATCTATGAATATCTAGTACTCCAGGAGTGTTTAAGGCTGAGTCTTTTATTTTGTTGTTTGTCTTGTTCTTTGTGTTTGCTATGTTTGTTTTCCTCTTGGCTCTACAGGTGGAAAGGTTGTTTGTTCATTTTGAGATAGTATTGGGAACTCTGTAGGGTGTGAGGGAAGATGGAGGAAGAGCTAGCGATGGCTTTGAGAAGGTTTGAGCTATCAGATACGGAAGTGGGGGGGATCGACCTAAGTAATGATGATGTAGAACAGAGTCTTCAAGATTGCAGAGGGACTTTGGTTGGACGTATTATAGGAGACAAGATAGCAAACTTCACAGGGGTAAAACAGTTCACAAACCATGTTTGGGGCTATCCCAGAAATATGCGTGTCACTGAGATTGGCCCCAATGTGTTCCAATTTAGCTTTGAAAGGGTGGAGGAAAAGGAAAAAGTTTTGGCAGGTGGTCCGTGGATTTTAGATAACCAGGTGCTTGTTATAAGGGAGTGGTATGTAGGATATGAAAAACAAATGGAGTGTTTTAGATTTGCTAGTCTTGGATCCAAGTCTGGAATCTTCTGATACACTGGATGAGTAAGGCTGCGGGAAGGAAAATAGGGGGGATGTTTAAGAGTGTAAGGGAGGTCATCCTACCACCTGGGGGTGGAAAGGAGGGGAGGCATATGAAAATATTTGCGGAGGTTGATTTACAGCAGCCATTGGTAAGAGGAACAGCAGTGAAATTGAACAGAGAGATGGCCTGGATCGACTTCAGGTACGAACGCTGCCCAGATTTCTGCTATAAGTGCGGTATCATAGGACATGGAGATAAAAATTGCAGAAGGGAAGCGAGGGCAAACCAAGCTGGTAGGGAAGCACAGTATGGACCGTGGATGAGAGCAGGCAATATAATGTTATCCCCACTCAGGGGTGAAGCCGGAAAACATGTACAATCTAAGGGACAATATGATGGTTTGGGTGGAGGTGATTCAAGAGGGAATGAGGAAGGGATAGGGGAGAGAGTAGGTCAACAAGAGAGGATGAGACAGAACGTAGAGGAGGGGAGCAAAAGGGAGAAAGGAAAATAGGGAGAGGTAGGCAAGAGGGAGGAGGGCAAAAAGCTCTAGTCATTAGTGATAAGGAAAGGGAAACTTGTGTAACAAGGACAGAGGAGGTGAGGAGGGGTGATCAGGTTACTGGACTGGAAGTTCAAGTACAGGAGAAGGAGAAAATGACAGGGGAGATGGAAAGCCACATGGACTTCGAAATGCAGGGAGGAGAGGTGGGTGGTGTAGTAGAGGGAGGGATAGGAAATAGGGAGCATGTACGGGAGGTTGGAATAGGGGAGGGATAGGATAGAATGCTTTCTTTAGTTTCTGTGAAGGTGGAAGACAAGTGAAAAATACAAAAAGGGTTCCATAGGCTTAAAAGAACACCATTGGGAGAGTTAAACAAAAATACTCATATGGGAGATCTGGGGGGAAAAAGGAAGAAACCCATAGTGAATGAGGAGGGAGAAATTATGGAGGAGGATGACGGAACACAGGAACAAAGTAGGAAGAAAAGTCAGAAAATGATTAAAATGAGGGAACTAGAGGCAATCCCATTGAAGACTCCACAGTGTAAATGAAGGTCTTGGTGTGGAATTGTCGAGGTGTGGGAGGACCCTTGACAATTCCCCAACTAAAGAAGATGGTACATCTCCACTTTCCAAGTGTGGGTTTTTTGGATGAGACAAAGAATCAGAAATCAGTCATAGAAAAGGTTCAGAAAAAAATAAAATTCGACAATTGCTGGGTGATCAATCCTAGTGGGAAAGCAGGAAGACTAGCTATGATGTGGAAGGAAGAAGTAGAAGTGATGAGTATGGACCAGGGGACTTTCTTCATAGGGATGAAACTGAGGGATAGGGAAACTGATTGTGAATGGTGGCTGGTGGGAGTTTATGCGAGTACAGATGAAAATATAAGGAAGGAGCAGTGGAAAACGTTAGAGCAAAAAAAGAGGGATTGGGGGGAAAATTAGGTACTGATAGGAGATTTCAATGACATCAGATCAGGGGAGGAAAAATGGGGAGGGAGGAGGAGACATGAGAGTAGCTTTAAGGAGTTCAACAGGTTTATAAAGGAGAATGAGCTGATTGATTTAGGCTTTGAGGGGAAACCGTGGACATGGTGCAATCAGTGAGAAGGTGAGGGTGAAGTAAAGGAAAGACTGGATAGGGGCTTGGCTAGTGTCAAATCGTACCAAATGTTTGCTAGAGCCCGTTGTAGCCATGTAGAAAATGAAGCTTCTGACCATAGCGCTCTGATTATGGACATAAACCCCAACCAGAGGAAGGTGAAAAGAAGGTTCTATTTTGACCAGCGTTGGGCCAAGATTGAAGAAACAAAAGGAGTAATAGGAAGAGCTTGGGGGTTAGAACATAAAGGATCAAGGATGTTTAAGGTAACAAAAAAAAATAAAGGAGTGCAGAATGGCCTTACTTACATGGAGAAGGAAAAGTAATATGAATTCAGGGAAAAGCATCCAGGTTATAAAGGGAAGGATTCAGGAGCTTAAGGATAGCAACAGCACAGGAAAAAAGGGTCAGCTGGTAGATCTAAAGTTGCAACTGAGCAAGGCATATCGAGAGGAGGAATTATACTGGAGTCAAAAGGCTAGGACAAGGTGGTTGAAGGAAGGAGATAAAAACACAGCTTTCTTCCACGCGAGTGTGATGAAGGCTAGGAAACAAAGACAGATTACATGTCTACAAAAGGATAATGGTCAATGGTGCACAAATGAGCAGGAAGTTCACGAAGAAATTTGTGGATATTACAAACAATTGTTCACTTCTGGAGGAACAGACCAGTTAGAAGAAACACTTCAGGGAGTTCCCAATACTATAACAAGACAGATGAACGAGCATCTGATCCGACCTATTGGGGAACAAGAGATATACAAAGCTTTGTTTTCCATGCATCAGAACAAATCACCCGGGATAGATGGTATGTCCCCTCTCTTTTTCCAAAATTACTGGAACATAGTGGGTAGCAATGTGGTGAATGCTGTTTCGAGTTATTTTTACTCTTGTAATATGCTTAAGGTGATTAATGAAACCTTGATTACTTTGATCCTTAAAGTGGACCATCCCATCAATATGACTCAATACAGACCTATTAGCTTGTGCAACACTTTATACAAAATCATTTCAAAAGTTCTAGCTAATAGACTGAAAGTTGTCTTAAATTGTGCCAGTCAGCTTTAGTGAAAGTTGTCTTAAGTGCATTAGCGAGTCCCAGTCAGCTTTTGTGCCAGGAAGACAAATTGTGGATAATGTTCTCATTGCTCATGAAGTGATGCATTTTTTGAAAAATAAAAGAAAAGGAAAGACAGGTTTTATGGCCATTAAACTTGATATGTCCAAAGCCTACGATAGAGTGGAATGGAAATTCATAGGAAGAATAATGATGCATATGGGTTTTTGTCCTATCTTTGTTAGGTGGATTATGGCTTGCATTTCTTCTGTGTCTTATTCTTTCAACCTAAATGGAACCAAAGTGGGTTATGTTAATGCTAATAGAGGTTTGAGACAAGGAGATCCCCTTTCTCCCTATCTTTTCTTAATCTGTGCAGAGAGTTTGTCGCATTTGATAAACACAAAAGTGGGAGAGAAGCTGCTCACAGGTGTGAAAGTGTGTAAGAACAGTCCGTAAATATCTCACTTATTTTTTGCAGATGATTCACTGATTTGCTGTAAGGCAATGGTACAGGAGGCTAAGCAAGTGAAAGAAATGTTACAAAGATATGCGATAGCTTCTGGACAGCTTGTAAACTTTGACAAATCTGCTGTTTTCTTTAGCAGGAATATTTCGAGGACAAGAAGAGAGACCATCTGTCAAGAGTTGGGGAGCTTAAAGGAGACAACAAATGGGAGATATCTGGGGCTACCAATGGCAATAGGTAGAACAAAGAATCAAGTGTTTGGCTATATTAAATGTGCTGTCATCAAGAAGCTGAAAGGTTGGACAACCAAAATGCTGAGTTTGGCAGGAAAAGAAGTGCTCATAAAGTCAGTAATACTTGCGATGTCAAACTATGCAATGGCCTGTTTCAAATTACCTAAAGGACTGTGCGATGATATCTGCAAGAGCATAGCTAACTTTTGGTGGGGAAATAATGAACAGGAGAAGAAACTCCACTGGATTAGCTGGTCGAAACTAGCTGAAGTGAAAGGAAATGGGGGGATGGGATTCAGGGACTTGGAATTTTTTAACAAAGCGTTACTTGCTAAGCAACTATGGAGAATCATTAGCTCTCCAAATCTGCTTGTGAGTAAAGTGCTTAGAAGCAAGTATTTAAAAGATCTTAAGTCCCTGGATAAGCATCCTCCAATTTCAGCTTCCTGGTCATGGAAAAACATACATAGTGCGTGGAGCTTGCTGGAAGATGGACTGTGGAAGAGAATAGGGGATGGAACACAGGTGAATATTTGGAAGGACAGATGGATTTTGGAATCTGAGACAGGTAGGCCTGCAACACCAAGTCCCGCAAATTGCCACCTCCAAACGGTCAGCCAGTTAATTCGCAATGGAAGATGGAATGGTGAAATATTGCAGAATGTCTTCAACAATGTAGATAGAGAGCGAATAATAAGCATGCCTCTTAGCATGTTCAAGCGACCTGACAGGTTCTTTTGGAAATTTGCTAAATCTGGAATCTATATAGTAAAGTCAGGATATAGAAAGGCTATGCAGGATAACAAAAGAAGCAAAAGAAGACAAAGGCTGGAAGAGGAGACGAGTTGGGAGCTGAGGAAACATTCTGTCTGGAAACAACTTTGAAATTTGCATCTTAAGCACAAAATCAAACATTTCATCTAGAAGTGCTTACAGAAGAGAGTTGCGGTGAACAAAGCCACCTACAAAAGGACGGGGAGAGGGGGTATGATATGTCCTGTCTGTGGAGATGAAATAGAAACTGTCGAGCATATGCTTTTCACTTGCCCAAGAGCTCAATTTGTATGGAAATTGGCATCAGTCAGATGGGAGGGGCTGAGAGAACTACAAGATAATCTATGGAGATGGTGGGAGGCGGTGGCGCAGACAGGAACTAAGGAGTCTGGGACAGAGCACATAAGTCTAACAGCAAACATCATGTGGAACATTTGGAAAGCAAGAAACAAGGTGGCCTTTGAGCAAAAAAGGAAGGAGGCAAAGGAGATATGTTTGAAAGCACAACAAGAATGGCAGGAGTATGAGGAAGTGAGGCAACAGGAGGAGGGGTACAAAAAGACGGCAGGAGATACGGGCAAGCCTAAACCAGGGAAGGAACCAGTGCTAGATGGAGTTATTAGAATTAGTACAGATGCAGCCCTTAATGCGAGAACGATAAGAACAGGGAAGGGAATAGTGGCTAGGCATTGGACAGGCGAGATTATTAGAGCAAGGGGAGTAGTAGAGCAGAAGAAGGGGGATGCTCTAATGGAAGAAACTTTAATCGTTAGATTAGCTCTCCAAATGGCTCCTGAAGAAGGTTGGGGGAAGATAGCCATCTTCTCAGACTGTAAAACGGCTACTGACTACATTAATGGCAACAATGTTCAAGATGGAATCCTAGCAACCATCCTGGAAGACATTGCAGATATGGTTCAAGTTTTTGACTACTGCACGATTTCTTGGATGCCTAGATCTCTTAATACAGCAAGTCATAGGCTAGCATGTTTTGCTTCTCAGCTAGTTAATGATGTTAATTGGGTAAATCAGTGCCCAAACTGGTTAAAGGAGGCTAATAGATTAGATGACAGGGCTTATGCTCATTTTGTAAGTAATCCTTGTAGGATCAAGTGTTAACATCTATAAAGTTGTTATCGTTTGTGGAAAAAAAAAGTAGTATTAACAAGTTATAATCAATTAACACTAAGATGGTGGTTCAATTGAAAGATACGATTGCTTATGTATAGATTATCAGAATTTTTCAGTGATTCACAAAGAAATTTTCAATATGTTGAAAATGGTGGGGTATTGTTAGAATATTTTCAAGTACTGAAAGTCCGAAGAATTCTAGAAGTAGCTTTCTGCATTTTATTCGCAATCAAATGAAATTTTTTATTCACTCATTTGGCTGATTGTGCATCACTAGTAGACTTATTTCTTTGATACTGTTAAGAATCTCCATTCAATAAAGCTGCTAGGAATTCTTTTTTTCTCTTTTTTTTTGTTTTTTTTGAACAAGTGTCATTGGGGTTTAATTCTCATTGTCTCCCTTCCTTCTCACCCCTTCCTTTCTAAAAGGCATTTCCAAAGAATTTAGTTGTTGCACAAAAGAGAACTAATGAAAAATCTTGGTGATCTTCCATTTTGGAGTTGTGACACTAATAGTCAAAGAATGAAGGAGGAGGAGATTGAAATCAAGTCCAAGGAAAACATTAAAGTAGCATCTCCAACCCCACATCATCTTAGAAGCTTCAAACTTTTCCCTACTGTGGATCAACTTCTTCCCCATATTTATGTTCACCATTAGTTTGTTTCTTGAAGAACCATAAAAAATCTGACATTTAGAGAGAAGGCTACCGTTGAAACAATCCTTATCAAGAACTTTAGTCCACTTCTTCCCTCTAGGTGGTAAAGTCAAAGACATTCTTCACGTTTATTGTAATGATGAAGGCCTCTATTACGTCAAAGTCCGAGTGAAGACTAAACTCTTTGATTTCCTTAGACACCTACAACAAAAATTGATACATCGTCTGGTTCCATTTCATCCAAGTTCTGAAGAATTGGAACCAAACTTATGTAGTAATGGTACGGGTAAACATTTTGACTCTGGTGGCAGTGGCGGAGTCAGAAAAAATTTTTAGTGGGGAAAAAAGTAACATTAAAATTTTTTACCTACTCTTTCTCTAGTTTTTTAAGCAAAAATAAAAAATAAAATTCACCAACAAGTACAAATGATGCATATATTCCATGAAAAACATAAAAAGATAAATTTAAAATTATTAATGTAATAATAATTTTATTTCAAAAACAAACTAAACTATTTACAATTGCTCACTGCGAGTTTTTATATTTTGATAACTAACTTGGTTGTGGAAGTAACAATGGCTCTCAGTTGTGGAGGGAAAATGGGGGACCAATTGAGGGAAGGGAAATTGGGAAGTGGGGACAAAAGAAGTGAATAATATGATTAGATGAATTGATCAAGAGAAAGAGTAGCTAGTTGCTTGGTTGTGGAAGGTAGTAGCTCTTGGTTGTGGGGGGGAAAATGGGGGACCAGAGGAGGGAAGGGAAATTGGGGAGTGGAGCCCAAAGAAAGTGAATGACATAATTGGTACTTGCTAGTTGAAATGAAAACATTTTTTTGTAACTTATTTCAAATGGAATTTGTGCCCCACGTATCTTTTTAGAATTTTAGTTTATGAACTAACTTAAAAAATTACGTAATTCTTTCACATCTTTTAAAAAAAAACTCTGGACGCATACTTAAAATTATATCAAAATTATATAAGTATTATAGGAATTTAAGAAGGATAGTGGGGGCCGTGCCCCCACCTTAAATCCGCCCCTGTCTGGTGGAACCGCAGTTGGATACGGTCATGTATGGCCGGTCACTAGTGAAATTTGTCAATGCATCATCAGAAGAAATTAGCCCAAGGTTTTTTTCATCCTCGATTTTTCATCTGAATCCGGGATTACTTTACAACACTTCAATTTTGTCGCCTCCTCAATCCAAGCAATCTAAATCTGTAACAAGGAGATTTGTGTTTCATGCATCTGCCTTGGCTGCTCTAGAAGCAGGAGCGGATTTAAGATGGGGCACTAGGGGCACGGGCCCATCGCCCCCCTTAAATTCTTATAATACTTTACAATTTTGATATAATTTTAAGTGTGCCTCCAAATTTTTTTTAAAAGATGTGAAAGAATTACATAATTTTTTAAATTAGTTCATAAACTAAAATTCTAAAAAGATACGTGAGACACAAATTTCATATGAAATAAGTTACAAAAAATGTTTTCATTTCAACTAGCAAGTACCAATTATATCATTTACTTTTTTTGGACCCCACTCCCCAGTCTCCCTTCCCTCCTCTGGTTCCCCCATTTTCCTCCCACAACCAAGAGCCACTACCTTCCACAACCAAGCAACTAGCTAAACTTTCTTTTGATCAATTTATCTAATCATATCATTCACTTCTTTTGTCTCCACTTTCCAATTTCCCTTCTCTCCACTGGTCCACCATTTTCCCTCCAAAACCGAGAGCCTTTCTTACTTCCACAACCAAGTTAGTTGTCAAAATATTAAAACTCGCAATGAGCAGTTGTAAATAGTTTAGTTTGTTTTTGAAATAAAATTATTATTACTTTAATAATTTTAAATTTATCTTTTTATGTTTTTCACGGAATATATGCATCATTTGTATTTGTTGGTGAATTTTTGTTTTTTTTTTGCTTAAAAAACTAGAAAAAGAGTAGGTAAAAAATTTTAGTGTTGCTTTTGCCCCTACTAAGAATTTTTTCTGGCTCCGCCACTGTCTAGAAGATATATCTATCAATGCTGCATCCAATGTTACAAATGCCAGTCGTGTTACAATTGCAGTAGGACTTATCTGGCGATGCCTAATTGCCACATTTCAAGCAAAGATCTGGAATACAAAACAGTCTATTTTAACTTTTGCGGTGAATTTGAAGCCAAAATATCCCCACCTTTGCCATGTTATTCCATTGGCAACATCTTACGGGGAACATATGCTCAATGCATGCCAAATTCAGATCTTGATTTGCCCTTGATGGTTAGGTGTATCATAAAATGGACAACGTTTTTCTTGAAGAGTTAAAGTGAAAACGGGTCTCTGACCAATCTAATGAAGCATTTGAAAGAATTGGAACAACTACTTAGTGGCAATCTTGATGTTGAATGCTTGGCTGTGTTGAGTCTTCGCAATAATGGAATCAATAAAGCAGATTTTTGATGGGGGAAGCCCATTTGAGCATCTATCGGAAGTGCTGGTAAAGACGAAATTGGACTAACAACTATGCTCATCCTCATGGATACAAGATCTGGTGATGGAATTGAAGCATAGGTGTCCTTAAAAGAAGAAGAAATGGCTATGCTTCAGAAGATTCCTGAGCTACTTAGTTTTGCTGCTTTAGATCCCAGCCCATTTGGAACTCTTTTCCTTGTCTGCTTTATGATCAGCAACACTTATTTTGAACATTTAACAAAGTAATATGGGGAGCTAACATGCATTTAAAGAAACGTTTTTGATTATTCATTGCTACATTTACTTTTTTTTTCCCCTGTTCAGCGAAAACACCACAGATGACTATCGATGTATTAGTAAAATAATGATTTTCCAAATAAGGTTATCAACTTGGTCCATTCTCTTTTTGATATTAACTTTCAATTTCATGATGGATGGATGATGGATCAGAGGGGAGAGGGGAAGATTGTTGGAAGATCATTAGCTTGATAGGTTAAGGAACAAAAAGAATTATAGTTCTTCATTTCCCTCATCAATTAGATCTTCATCTGTTTTGAAGTATGGACTGCATTTCCTTTTCTTCCTTTTCCAATCAAATTTCATGCTTACAAGGGATTAGAAAAAGCGTGAGAGAGTGCAGAATAAGAAGGTGCTATTATTCATAATCCTCCTGTTTGATGGAAGAAAATACTGTACAACATTAATCTGTTTTCTACGTTACAAAAATTGTGCCTTGCTATCAACTACTACTATTCTCTAATTTTGCATACCAGTGCTCCTAAGTCATGTTTTAACTCAAGCAAGAGGTCACATCAATGAACTTGTCTTCTCTGCAAGGGATTGTCAAACCCCCCATTGGATGATCAA